TTTAAAAACTAAGTTTTGCTCTTTTGTCCAACTCCATTTCTTATTTTTTCTAAGAAGTTCGTACAGCGGCCCTACCATGTCCGCATAATTTTTAAAAAATTTTTGAATTTGGAATAATAATTAATCATACCCAAAAACGATTTGAGTTGTGTAATGTTCTCGGGTTTTTTAATATTCAAAATCGCGTCAATTTTCCCGCTTGAAGCTCGAATACCCTTGTCGCTTAACTCGAATCCTAAAAATTCAATACTGTTTTGCGCTAATGCACATTTATCTCTACTTAAAGTTAATCCACAATCTTGCAATCTCTGTAATACTTTCGTTACATTTAGATCATGCTCTTCCTTCATAGATCCTGTAATAACTAAATCATCGAAAAATATTGCGACCTTGTCTAAGTTCTGTAAGATCTTTTCCATTTCGCGCTGGGACAACCCAGGCGCTGATGCTATTCCCAAACTCAAACGATTAAACCATCTTTCTAAACTTCTAAACAATCTTTATGAGTTGTTATCGTAACTAACGATTTTGATTTCTCATCTAATTCTACCTGCTAATAGTCCTGAGCTAAATCTAATTTTGTAAATATCGTACCATTCCCTAAGTTTGTGAGTAAATCTGACACTCTCAGAATCGGATATTTATCCACTCGTAAGTGTGGATTTAGTGTCATCTTATAATCTCCGCATAAACGTATTTGGCCGTTCGATTTTGGAACTGATACAATGGACGTTAACCACTCACTATTTTCAACCGCTTCTAGAACTCCTTCTCCTATTAAACGATGAATTTCTTTTTCGACTCTCTCTTAACGCAAAAGGCACTGGTTTGCAAAATATTGGACTAGAATCCTGCTTCAGATGTAACTTAAATTTTTACCCCAGTTTCCTAGAAAAAGTGACTTGGTCTGTTTTTTTATCTCAATGCAGTAATCTCAATATAATCAACGTTGACAATGAAATGCTACATGAATTGGCAACTTTCACTGATTTTGTAGTTTATCTTCAGAAGATTACTAATCAGTTGCATTCAGCAGAGATAGCAGTTTTGAAACTATTATAAAACTCTTCAATATGATTTATTGTTTATATATATAATATATATATATATTTAGTTACAGTGAAGAGGAACTAAGATGAATTATATTAAAGAATTTTATAATAGTATATAACAGTTCTCAACTTCCTGTTCAAGCATCATCTTTAGATGCGAGGTAGAAATATATAAGCTTGCTTTTTTTTTAGTAGATAAATTTATTAATAAATACAATGAGTAACGCGAGAGAAGAGAGAGAGTGGTCCAAGGCACAGATTCTTCAAGTCGTTTGAACAAAATGCAAGAAAATTCTCTCTCTGCTAATCCAGCGTATCCTTCCCAGTCCTTGGCAGTAAAAACGAGAAGAAACCGCAGGCTGAAAATCAATCAAGTTATATCATCGCATTTGAGTGGATTAAATCATGTATGTTTTCTACATTTTGTATGCATTGAAATTTAAACCGAATATCACTTATCTCACAAACTCAAAATTTTACAGATTTAAACTTTACTGGGAAGATTTTTTTACCGAAGAGAAACGCGGCGAACAGTATAATGGGAACTACGCAGGCTAAATCGATCAGATAACCGAACATCAAGTTGCCGACTAGGGCGCCCAGACGACCCATCGTCAGAGATAGAGCTGCGGCCATCACTCTGTAATGTGTTATATGATATCGGATTAATGAATCTTGAATCAAAAAAGTTCAGAAACTTGAATCGTATTTTGCTCACCTAAGATTTGTTGGGAACATGTCAACGATCACGCAGTAGACTAGAGAAATACCGAGGGACGTGAGAGCCTCGAACACGCACGAGAGCACCAGGTTCTGCATCGAGTTCACTACGTAGTAGAAACCAACCGTCACTGCGCCGGAGACCACCAGCGAAAAGACTGAAAGCACAAGTATCTCGTAGTTCAGTTCTATTAGAATGTAATTGAAGTTTGATTATATATCGTTATCTTTTACTTCAAAAGTGATACAAGTAAAAAACCGTGATTTTCAAGTTATATGATGAGTTAGATAAATATTATTCCGTCAGTTATCAACAGTGAACACTTAACTTTATAAAATAATCGTCAAAATGTCACAACTGATGGTTTTAAAAAATTGTCAAAATAATGACAACTAAAAGAATGATTTTTTTTTAGAGTTATGAAACAAAAATAACAGTTGATCATGTTAAGAATACATGCTATTTGAAGATATTATTTTATTATTTTTCAGTTTTCTGTAAGTTAAAAAATAATTTTTCTCTTTTTTGTAAAACTTAATTTTTTTAGTTGTGTTATTATTTGATATTATGAAAATAAATCTGATTGAATATTTAGAGAACTAATTAGTCTTTCAATAGTTATTCAAATTTAATCTAGTTTTGTTATGATAACTATTATTTTATTGTATCTGTTTAAATAATTATCATATCCTTTCACTTCGTTTTTTTTTTCATTTTTTAAAGGTATCTCAAATTATTATTTACTCAAGATGTGCCATCACTTACTCAGGAAGAACTTTGCGCCCAGTTTGTGCACGAAAAGGGGTAGGATGATCGAACCAGGGATGCACGCGAGGCCAATGTATACCGTGTGCAAATAGACGGAAGGCGCAATTATCGTGTCGCATCCGTAAGGGTTGAAGAAGGTCGTATTATCTGGCAAGGCGGATACTATACACACCGACGTCGTCTCGCCAGGATTCGAATGCTCGAACTGTTCGAATCTTGAAAACAATGTAAAGATTATGGATTATTACTGAAATATGGCAATTACATAATCGTGAAGTAAAGAAGATGAAACTAAGAATACAAAAAGGTAAGAAAATGGCCAGTTTAAATGAAATTATTGGCGCATGAGAAGAAATAAAGGAAAGAAAAAAAAATATATAAAAAGAGATTTATCTTTAATGGAACAAAATATTGTTTGTACTTTCAAATTTATACTATCAGGTTCTAAAAAAATTCTGTTATTTTTCCAGAATTACAAAGTATAATATGTATATTGGTATAGGTTCCAACGAATATAAATCCAAGGATAGATGTAAATCTTATTCTTGAGAAAAATTGACAAACGTTTCAACCCTTTCAATTGGATCTTCCTCAGTGTGAAAATAAAAATAAAATCAGTGATGTATAAATTTAATATAAAAAATGTGATACGAAGCAAATTGGAGTATCGTTAACATATATTCATAAATTGATAATAATGTTGTCGGTCGTATCTAACAAAATATTCAAATCTAATATTTCAAATTATCTGTAATTTAATAAAGTTGAATAAGTCATTATAAAACATAAATCAAATTAATTCAATAAAAGCTTACGTATAATAATGTTAACGATGATATGTGAGATAGGACATGTTAGCACAAAGAGTATGTGAGAGGTCAAAATCAATTATTGTTAGTCATAGGTATAAACATAGTGATAAATAAATACAATATAAATATAACGCGTTAATAAATAAATACAATATTATGTTTT